GCCAGCAAGGTTGTGCTTGTGTGTGGGGTAGGAAGTGCAAGGAGACTGGTTCTCCTGTAATGTGGGTTGCCCTGGGTATCGCCATGAGTGGCAGATCTGACGCAGGCACAGTGGTCGTTGGTGAGACTGTTGCTTGGAGAGTAAGCAGGAACATTATGAGGCATGTCAGAGGAGTTTGGCCTTGATTCTATAAACAATGGGGAGCCATGGAGAATTTCATCAGGAGAGTGACATGGGGAAAGCTGTGCTTCACAATTAGTTCTGCCCCTCCTCTGGGCCTCATGCCTCTGTCTGTAACCGAGGAGTCTGCCCTAGACCTTCAAGGAGGTCATCTTCAGCTCTAAGGTTTTGAGATCAAAGCCTTTCTGGACTTTCCAAGATCGCCCTCCTTCCTGTCCCCCTCCCCTTTTATTTTTCTGCCACCCAGTGTTGCGCTGTGACTGGAACGGCTCTCTGGGGGAACATGTGCTGAACGAAGTCTGTGCCTTGGGAGCAATTGTGTTTTATTTTATTTTCTTGCTCCTTTTGAAATCTTCCAGGAGAAAAACCAAATCTGTGCCTGCCCCGATGAGGAGCAACTTGGAAGGGAGTTAGAAAGAAAGAGATGGGTAATCAAATCCCCTCAGGGCTCCTGCCAGGTCCGCTTCCTGCTAGAAAGACTTGACTCTGAGGCGTCCAAGCTGCAAGAGGTCCCTTCTGCGACCCAGCCTGGGAGGCTCCAGCTGGTTGTGTGAACTGGGGGAGGTTCCTCTGCTCCTTCCAAATCAGCTCCTGTCATCACAATGTGATTTATGAGCTTTTCCTCTAAAATATGAGAACGTTGGCTCCTGATTAGGTGCTGTAATGGAGGAAGGCAGTGGCTGCAGCATTTCTGATAAATACTATCTCTTTAGACCACCATCTTGTTACCAAAAAGGTGCCAGAGGTTGACTCCAGATGGATTAAAGTCTTTTTTTCTTAATAACACGTCTAATGGGGTGTCGGGAGGGTTATTGCTCCCATCTGAAGGCTCCGGGCTTGATTTCTAGAGTAACTGCCACATACCAGCTGCTAAGACCAGAGGCTACTTACCTCTGAGCCCCCACTTCTTCACCTGTGGGGGGAAGCGGAACACGAGCTCCCACCTTACAGATGCTGTGCAAGGTATGAGAGGGACATCTGAAGAACTCAGCATAGGCCGGAACAGATGTGTGCTCTGGAAGTGCTGGGGATTATTAGGATTATTCTGAGACCCAAAGAGTGGATGGTCTCAAAGTGATTGGGAAAATATTTGGGAAGCATTTTTATAATTATGTGTTGATATGGCAGAGCTGGCACTTGGAACGAGGCATCTCAATCCAGTTCTACAAGAAGGCCATGTCACAGGTGTACCTGCATAGCTTGTTACAGTTCCTAGAACAAAATGTGACCTTGGACAAGCTCCTGATCTTGGTTGACATAGAGCCTTGGTTTCTTCATCTGTACAAATGGGTAACAGTAATATTCATGTCTTGTGTGTGCTGTGTGCGAGTGTGTGATGTGAGTGGGATGTGTGTGTTACATATGTATACGTGGTATGTGGTGTGTATATGTGAGTGTGTATGGTGTGTATGTCTGGTATGTGGGATGGTGTGTGGTATGTAGTATGTCTGGTGTGTATGGTATATGTGTGCTGTGTGTGAGTGTGTGATGTGTATGTGTGAGTGTGTGGTATGTGTGATGTGTGGTATGTATGTGTGTGGTGTATGGTGTGTGTGAGTGTGTGTGGTGTATGTGTGGTGTGTGTATTATATGGTGTGTGTAGTTATGTTGTATATGTGTGAGTGTGTGTAGTGGGTGTGAGGTGTGGTATATGTGTATGTGGTATGTGTGGGAGTGTGTGTGTTTGTGTTGGGAAAGACTTGCATAATCACAGCACTTAATGTTCTGGGGTAAAAGCACTTAGTAAAGGTAAATAGTAATCTGCTATACAGATATTTATATCCTGATGACCCATATGTGCTGGGATAATCCACCCTCAGAGCTTAAATTTCATTTGAGGAGCGCAGGCAGATAAGACATGTACATGAAAGGTTAAAAAACAGCAGGAGTTGGTCTGAGACTAACTTAAGTACCACGAGAGTTCAGGGGAGGGTCACCAGGGCTGAGCAGTCCCGAATGCCTGGGAGGAGCAGGGTCTGACATGGGCTCTAAAGCAATGATTTTGATTTTAAAACTTTTTGCTTGCCTACCCTCTACATGAACTTTGGCAGAAAAAAGTCTCTTTGCCTCACACATTTTAACTTGACATCTGAAAAGTTTCATTATAAGTTTAAGTAGTTACAAAGGATATAATTTCTGCCATATTGTAAATATTGACCTTGTAGAATAAAATTACACTACTCTCTTACATGCATCAAATGGAAGCTAAATAACAGCAATTTTTAATTTTTCCTTTTTATTGAAGTTTCATGTATATACAGTAAAATGCACAGATCTTAAGCATGCAGCTCAGTTAATTTTTGTCAGTGTACTGACTACCCAGATAGAGGTGGGTATATATCCAGCATTCCAGGAGGCACCTTTGTGCCCCCTCCCAGTCAATATCCCCCCAAAGGTGACATTTCTCTGAACTCTATTATCACTATATCATTATATATACCAGCATAAACTAGTTTTGCATCATTTCCTTTGTTCTGGCTTCTTTCAGTCAGCATGAGGTCTGTGAAATTCAAGCATGTTGCTGCAGGTAGCAGTAATTCATTTTTCGTTGTTGCACAGTATTCTCTTGAATGAATATTTCATATTAAAAAGCCTTGTCTACTCTTAATGGGCATTTTGGGTTGTTTCTAACATTTGGCTGTAAAGATTTTTCTTCTCTATATTTTGTGGACATAGACACTGATTTCTTTGGGGTATGTATCCATGAGTGTAATTGACAGGTCATAGGATAAACATGGGAATACATTTAGTATCCACCACCATTCATCAAAAATTGCAGAAATTTACATTGTTTCTTTCTTTACCTTCTTGAACTCATAATTCCCTTCTACTTCCTTCACAGGACTTTATCTTACTATATTTTCATGCTTGAAAAACTTTTATTGATTACTCTATCATATTTTTTTTTACCCAAAATATGTATGTGAGTGGAAATGGATGTTGAAAAAAATTCCTTTGACCACAAAACTCTAAGTTATCTTTCTTTTGGGTTGATTTATCGTACAACTCATTAAAATAACATCAATGTTTTATAATTTGATAAATAATGACTAAACATAAAAAGTAAGATAGTATGGGAAACACTTCTCACAATGCAGTGAATAGGGAGGTTGATGGCAGTGCTTCTCCTACGTGAAGGTGCATAAGGACCATCCGGGGATCCTGCTAACACGCAGATTCTGATGCAGAAGGGCTGGATTGGAGCCTGGAATTCAGCATTGCCAATGGCGTGGGCCCATGGATTGCTTTTGAGTAGCAAGGTCCTTAGGTTAAAGAGTTGCTAACACCAGCAGTCTCCATGGTCCACTTTTTGGTGCCCAGACATCTTGACACTTAGGAACACTGCACCATAGTCAGATTCTGGATGAGGGAGAAGTTGGTCTTCTGCAAGGAGGGAGAAGGCCTGCTGTGAAGAGAGTGGTGGGAAAAGAGGGGTGGTATCATCGAGACTGAGCCACATCCTCAGGCAGAGCAGAAGAGTGGGGATGGAAACAGGATCTCCAGCTGATTCCCTTAGAGCTCTTCCTGCCCGCGGGTCCTTGGGGAGCTTCGTGTACAACGGGTAGGGCTGCCCCTTTGAAGACCACTTCTCTCAAGGATGCTAAGACGGTGCCACCACCCTTTCAAACAGGGTGCCCATTAATGCAGGCAGGATTGGACATTTCAGGGACTGGTTTGGATGGTTTTACAGTGTAAATCCAGAAAGTTAGGTTTGGGTCTGGGTGGTAGATGGCCTTGAATCCATGGTATGGAGTTGGATTTAATACTCAGGCAGAGGGGGCCATGGGCTGATTTGAGCAGGGCACTGGTGTGAGCAGTGCTGTCGGGACACCGCTCTGTCAAGCAGCTCATGGACGGCTGGGTAAGAGTTCAGGCAGTGACACACTGTGGGCTTGACAATAAGGCTGGCTGTGGTTACTGGGATACCCAGGCTGTGATTTTTATCTCCCCCACCCTCCAGTCCCCCACCCTCACCCCTAGCTTTTGAACTTTTGCCCGGTTTGCTCGGTCAGTATTTCCTGAAGTGTGGGCTGCATGCCTCTAGCGCAGTGATGGCGAACCTTTTGAGCTCGGCGTGTCAGCATTTTAAAAAACCCTAACTTAAGTCTGGTGCCTTGTCACATATAGAAATTTTTTGATATTTGCAACCATAGTAAAACAAAGACTTATATTTTTGATATTTATTTTATATATTTAAATGCCATTTAACAAAGAAAAATCAACCCAAAAAATGAGTTCGCGTGTCACCTCTGACACGCGTGCCATAGGTTTGCCATCACTGCTCTAGTGGTACCTGAGACGTTAATGCATGGAGCTCAAGATAATTCAGAGTGAAACACCGGCATGGCCTTAAGTAGTACTGAAACCCAAGAGCAAAAGGCATTCCCTCTCAGCCCTTTCTCAGTCCTGAGCAACATCTTTCTTTAACACCACTCATGTTCCCATTTTCCCTTTGTCGGTAGCGAGCAGTTTAGGCTTAGGGCCTTTGATAAGCAGTCATCTCTAGTCTTTTCAAAATATTTGTTTTCATTGAATTGATTTTCTATGTAACAGGATGGGAAGCGGTCCTAGTTTCCCCTTACTATAGTGACATAAAACTGTTCCTTTAAAATAACCTCATTTCAGTAGGGACAGTGAGCCAGTTTACTAGACAATATGGCAGAAATAACAATGCCGGAGGCAATATGCAGTGGTTCGACTTTGGGTTAGACCACGTGGCAAACGCTGGCAAGTGCCAGATCATTGTGCCAATGACCCAAGAGGCTCTGGGTGGTCCCCACCAGCCTAACGTCCTGTCCGTTCTTTGCCTCTGCCTGCAGAGATCCGCACGCAGCTGGTGGAGCAGTTCAAATGCTTGGAGCAGCAGTCGGAGTCTAGGCTGCAGCTGCTACAGGACCTCCAGGAGTTTTTCCGCCGGAAAGCTGAGATCGAGCTTGAGTACTCCCGCAGCCTGGAGAAGCTGGCTGAGCGCTTCTCCTCCAAGATCCGCAGCTCCCGGGAGCACCAGTTTAAGTGAGAAGGGGCCAGGGTCCGGGCGGGGGGGGGAGGAGAGGGGGTGGAGGCAGCGCTGGCATGGGTAGGCGGTTGGCCACAAGGCTGAACTGGAGGCAAGGACTCATCGGAGGGGGATGGCTGCCTCTGAGGCCCTGCGTCTGCAGGACGCTACACCCCCAAGCCTCAATCTTCCTTGGTGGAAAGTGAAGAGAGAGTAGTTCCTGCGCATAAGGATGCTGTAGGGAATAAATGAGTAACCTGAGAAGACTGCTTTCACAGACCGTAAGTGCTCAATAAATGGTTACTGTCACTCCATCCACCAGGCACTGTGGGCCAAGGTGACTCGCCGCCTCCCTTCAGGTCATCCTGGCCCTATCCCGTTCTCTTGTACTTCAGGGTCCGCCAGCCCACTTCCAAATTCCTTCAGCACAAGGACCTCGGCATTTCTTCTCCATGGAACTGATGCTCATAGCATTCCTCTTCATTACTCCCGGGGGGACCCATGCTGCCTTATTACTTACCTGAGACACATAGACTCTGTGCTAATTCCTCACATCCCACGTGCTGCGTTCCTGGAGGCCTGGTCCTCTTAGGTCTGTAGGGAATCTGAGTCCTCCAGCTATAAAACTCTCCGGGTGCAGGCAGAAGCCACAGCCTCCCCGGGAGGCATTCACCCGTGGGCAGCACCACTTTGCAGCCCCTTTTCTTTGCCATGCTTCCCAGATGTTTCCCTCCTCAAAGCATCTCTCCAGCAAATGGCCCTCAGCCCCCGGAGACCAGAGACTTGCTTCAACACACCGGACCTGATCCTTCTTCCTGTGTTTAATCTCTTTTCTCTCTTTTGTATATATTTAAATTGTGGTAAAATACACGTAATATAAAATTTACCATCTTAACCATTTTTAAGTGTACAGCTTAGTGGCATTTCTGTATCATCAGCAACATCCATCTCCAGAACTTTTCTTCTTCCCAAACTGACACTCTACCCATTCAACACTCACTCCCCCCCGCCCCCCAGTAGAATAGCAATCACCATTCTACTGTCTCTATGGACCTGACTACTCTAGGGACCTCATTTAAATGGAATTACACAGACTGGTCGTTTGTGACTGGCTTATTTCGCTTAGCATAATATCCTCAAGGTGCATCCATGTTGTCATATGTGACATAATTTCCTTCTTTTTAAAGGCTGAATAGTGTTCTGTTTATGTACAGACCACAGTTTGTTTATTCATTCATCTGTCTTTGGATGCTTGGGTTGCTTTTGCCCTTCTTTGTAATTTTGCATTCCACTCTGGGCTGGGAGCACGCGTCCTTTAAACACCTCTAAATATCTTCCTCAGTCTGGGCCACAGCATTTGAACACTTGCTTTGGTGCCTTCGTCTCTTGACATTTGGGATAAGAAATGGCTTTATTAAAAGGCAAAAATTCATTACTCTTTTGCAAATATTGTGCTTGTTTTTCTACTCAGTTTCATCTCTTTAAATGTTCACTGCAGAAGGGAGCTTCTATTAATAACTTTCTCCCAGGCACTGTCAAGGTCCTTTCACATACAGAATCTCATTTTTCTGATATATTTTTTGGAGATATTTTATGTTGTTTTTTTTTCAAGTGACAAAAGTAAAATTCTCATTGTATACAATTTAGAAAGTACAGAAAAATAGGAGAAGAAAATGCACAGTCCTGATGGTCAGAATCAACCACTGTGCACATTTTGGGGCCTTTTCTCACCTGTCCTTTACTAATAACAACAGCAACAATAATTTATTCAGCGGGTTAACTGAGCGTTTCTTTTGTGCCAGGTGGGTATTCCTATCTCATCTTACAGATGAAGACAGTGAAATTCTGAGAAAGTAGACCAGCCATTGGAGACGGATTCGAACCATCACTCTGGTTCTGCCTCCTCGGCCAGAGACAGGAAAGGGCCTGGGTGGAGCCTGGGGGCAGCTGTGGAATCCGAACACTCCCCTAAAACTACAGGCACCGACACGCACTGGGAGACACACGCTGGGAAGCCCAGGTCTCAGACTGGGCTGTCACTGGAGCCATCCAGGCCTGTGTGGCCATCTGGAGCATCAGCTCCTGCCCCCTCTCCTTCCTGTTGGTTTGGAGTCAGATCCCTTCCCATTCTCAGTGTGAACAGGGCGGAGAGGGGAAAGGCGGGGTCGCCCGTTCCCTCGCTTCGCCTGTAATGAGCTTGGCCAGCCCCTCCTGGGTTCATTAACCGGAGCCACCAGACGGAACAGGAGCCCCAGCTGGCAGTCGGGCTAAGCAGGCTGCTTGACAGAGTATGAAAGTCTAATTAGGGAGTGGGCCAGGCCAGTGCAGCTGGTGTGGGCCTCTGCATGATGCTGATGTGACTGCAGAGCCCCCAGTGGGTTTTGGAAACAGGAGTCTGTCTGGATCTGCCCTTTGACCCCAGGGCCAACCAGCACCGACCCCTGGCTGCCTCTTCTTTGGAGCCTCACATAGGGTCTTCTTCCTGGCTTTCCAGAGAAGCCCTGTCCTTCTGTCTCACAGACACTTCATTTAAGAGTGTTTCTCTGTCTTCCAGGTAATCTCTCAGAGCCTTGAGGGCAGGGTCCAGGTCTTGTCATTTTATTCCCACTGCAGTCAGCCCAGTGCTGGGCAGAGATGGGGTGTTTGCCAATGAGTGGGAGAAAGGGAGGGAGGGGATTTACTCAGTCTATAAAGTCCACTCTGGCTGAGAGGTTTGGTTCAGAGAGGGAATTAGTTTGCTCAAGATCTTACAGCAAATTAGTGGCAGAACTGGGATGGGAACCATCTTAGTCTGTTTGGCTGCTATAAAAAAGCACTATTGACTGGGTGGTTTATAAACAGAAATCTATTTCTCACAGTTCTGGGAGTTGGGATTTCAAAATCAAGGTGCTAGCATGCTTGTGTTCTGATAACAGCCGCCCCCCCCCCCCCCCCCGCTTTTTTTTTTGGCTGGTGCTGCTGATTCTCCTTCTATTCCACAGCGGCAGAGAGCAGAGAGATGAAGTAAGCTCTAGTGACACTTATAAGGGCACTGATCCCATTCATGGGGGCTCCACCCTCATGACTTCATCTAATCCTAATTACCTGCAGAGGCCCCACCTCCTAACACCATCAGATTGGGGGTACGGTTTTAACATGACTTTTGGGGGACACAATAGGAACTCAGGTCTCCTGACTCCAGTGTTCCTCCTTTTGCTGTGAGCCCCAGCTGCTCCCTACCCACCTAGACAATAAAAACATTTACAGTTGCCCAGGAGGTGCTGTGTCTAGGGCTAGACTTACCTGGGTGGCATGCAATTCAAAGAAAGGCTCAAATGATGGCTCTGAGGGTTTACCTGGGACAGGTTGACTATTGAGAGAATAATACCATCACATGTTTCTTTTCTACTGTCACATGTTTCTATTCTATATTCTAATCACATCCTTTTCGGAGAACTCTGCCATCTTTGCTCTCTTATAATCCTGATGATAAGCCAAGGGCATAGAGAGGAGTCAGTGGTTTTATTCAAGCCAACTGAGCACCAGACAAGCCGCGTGGCTTATCTGACAAAGGACCCCAAGCAAGCTGTTGAGTAGGGAAAACCCACAGTTCCCTACTTCCGAGCTCAGGCTCCTCTCTGTAGGAAGCCATGCCGGTCGTGCATTTATTTAAAATGCAGGTAATGAGGACCTCTTATTTTCTTGTGTTCTGTGCTGAAGATACAAAGATTAACAAGACACAGTCCCTGCTCTCAGATATTCTGTCTTCTCTCAAGAGACAAAGCATGCCCGTGATTGGTATGGTTGGGACAGGCCCCCAACCCCTGTGGCTCTGTGCTTTGAGCCTGCCACCTGCCTGCTCTCCAGGCCTCAGCATTTAGATGTCACTGTCTTTGGAAACTTATCTTGAATCTGATCTGGTGCTTCCTCTGTGTGCCCATCATACTCTGTACCTGTTGACTTGCTTATTCACCTAATATTTTTTGAGCCCCTGCCATGTGCCAGGCCCTGTTTTACAGTGGTGAACAGGATAGACTTGCTTCCTGCCACAGTGGAGTTTAGCATCCAGTGGAGCAGATATAAAGAATGAAAAGAAAGACAATGTGTCATCAAATGATTGCTAGGATGGAAGTAAATAATATGCTGTGTTCTGGTTGTTATTTCTATGTAACAGTAATACCTCCCAAACTTAACGTATCTCCTGCTTTAGTGGGTCAGAAATTTGGACAGGGCTCAGCTGGGCAATTTTTCTGCTTTCTGTGGCATCAACTGGAATCAGCTGGCGATACTCAGCTGGCAGCTGGTCTGGGCTGGAAGGTCCAAGACGGCTTTGCCCATATACTTGGTGCTTTGATGGGGATGGCTAGAAGGCTGGGCTCAGCTGGGTTGCCTCCCTCTCCGTATGGTGTCAAGGCCCCTCTAACTAGTGCTTCAGCCAGCTGTTGGGCTTTAGACATGGTATCCCAGGGCTTGGAGAGAGAGCAAGGGGGAAGCTGCAGTCCTCTTCAAGGCAAGGTCTGGAATGGGCATATCATCACCATCAGCCCTGGCTCGGCATCAAGGGGATAGGAAACAAAGTCCACCTCTAGTTGGAGGAATGTCAAAGGATTTGCAACTCTCTTTAGTCCTCCACACTGAGCTAGAATGGCAGTCAGGGAAGACTTCTGGAGGCAGTGGCATTTAAGCAGAGACCTGAGAGATGAGAAGGAATAGCTATGGGACAGTACGAGGGAGAGAGAGCCCAGGGGCTGGAACAGGTGATGGGAGTGGAGTGGGAAGTCACTGAGGCATCATAAGTAGGAAGTAGCATGATCCAATTTTTTACTTTTAAAAGATTGCCCTGGATTGAAGGGGGATAGAGTGGAGCTGAGGAGACCTGTGGGGTTGGTGGGAGTATCGCTCTCCAGGCAGCTGGCGATAGCCGCCTGAGTGGCAGCAGAGCAGATGAAGAGTGGACAGAAGCTGAGAAAGCTCTCAGAGGTAGAATCGGGGGAAAGAGGAATCAAGGATGTCTCCCACTTCTCAGTTCAGCAATGGA